TCCTGACTTGTGACACTACCTGAGAGACACCAGACCACCACATAGAGATGGGTGGCCATGAACCTTGGTGTCCCTCATGGGTACTTAGAGCTACAGCAGCCACGAAGGGTGTGTGGTAAGGACACACACTTGTAGGGGACTAACCAGATTAATGTTACAAAAGCCTTTCATAAGGTATAAAAATCAGGATGCTTCATAGCAGGGTGGCCTAGGACTGTGCTGCAGAATAAAGCGTTCTGATGAATTTTATTTGACTGCATTTCCAGCAGGACCTTGCCTGGAGCCTGGGTCCTGCCAGTTGTGTCATCTAGCATTTGAGTGACAGCACAACCCCACAGCCCCAGGCCTGGGTTTTCCTTTTCCTGTGCTAAATTTTGCCATAAAATAAAAAGAAAATGAAAGTAAACATTACTATGAATGTCCACATATTTTTATTTTTTTTAACCTGAGCTCAGACATCTGATCTGAAAGGTAACCAGCTGCTGCACGTTTCATTAAATGGATCAAGCAGAAGGAATCTCCTAATGCTGTCATTGAAGGAGAGGCTGGGGAGAGACATGATGCCCCAGCATAAGGGAAACCTCTGCCCAGGACCAGGTCCCCAGGCTGTGGGACACCAGCATGTGGTAAGCCAGGCTACCCTGGCAGAGAGCTACCAATAGGCAAGGCAAGAGAATACAGGAAAAGACTCAGCCAAAATGGTCCTTCCCAGCCTGCCTTGGTCCAGGCTTCTTTTGGGCTCCTTACACACTGTCCCAGGCCAAAAATGCATGTTTCCAGGACAGCAGGTCTTTTTGAAATTTTCTGCATGCCCAAGGCATGTGCAAGCCCAGCCTGGATGTCACCTGGGCTATGAAATGTCACAGCACTGTGCAGGCCACACCAATCAGTTGTATTATTTTAAAAAGTTTCTGCAAATCTATTGCAAGACAGGGTTTTCTTAGAGCAAACCTAAAAACTTGCATTCCTTGCTCTGGCTACTGGAAAACACAAATGCATCTGGTCTTCCTTCTCTGTGGCTGAATATAAAAAGAAGAGAGGAGGGAGAAAAGAGAGGAGGGAGAAAAGAGAGGAGGGAGAAAAGAGAGGAGGGAGAAAAGAGAGGAGGGAGAAAAGAGAGGAGGGAGAAAAGAGAGGAGGGAGAAAAGAGAGGAGGGAGAAAAGAGAACCTGAGCTGGGAACCTTCTTTCCTGCAGAGCCACAGCCAGATGTGCTCTAATCCCTCTTGTGCAAGGGCTGTGTCCACCTCTGGGAGGAGATGCCAGGAATGATGCAGGGGCAGCAACAGCTGAACAGCAAATGTCTTGCTACATCTCTGCCTTCCCCTCTTTGCTCTGCAGGAAGCAAAGAAGTTGGTAACCCTAACACAGGTAGCAACTGCACAACTCTGGCCAAAACAAAGCCTGTGTTGCAGCAAGCAATGCCATCTTTCTGACCCTGCAGAAAAGCAAGCGAGGCTGGTTGGTGGTTACCAGCATGGGAATAGCTCCACTCTAAAAAAATCCTGATAGTCAGCTCCAGTAAAATGGAGGTAGGAAGTCACTGCCCATTTTTGTTATTGCCACTGGATGGCAACAGACGTTAAGCAGAGCCGTTGAGTTATCGCTGTGCAAACCACACATGCATTTGCTGTGCTCCACCTTGTTATTTAGGGGAACGACTGTGATTTCAGCACACCTAGCAGACACATTAAAAAGTCTCTGAGGGATTAAGCCATAGGTTGGCAGTAAGACAATCAGGAAGACTTCTTCCTGGGGTCAGGTTGAATGCTGGGCTTTCCCATTGCACGGCTTCTCCAAGTATTTCCTGCAGTGTGTACTCAAAATCAATTTTTGTCTTGCTATCCCAGGGCAAACTCTGCTGGTGAGCCATGCAAGGTATATTTAATGCCATGGATATGAGTTAAAAACTCCTTGGTGGAATTGCAGTATCATCCTGTGAAATGGTTAACACTTAAATGTGAAACTGCTATGAACTGGCCAAGGGCCACAGAAAGATCAACAGCTGGGTGCCAAAACCACAGCCAGGCTTGTCAAACAGCTTCATTTGATCCATCAGTTTTCTGTGAATCTCCAGAAACAGTGGCCAGCACTGACCTGAACTCAGGTGGGACATGCTATGGCTATAGAGGGATTAGGCCCCACCTGAATTCTGTAAATATTAATAAGATCATTCTGACTTAATAATGATGCGCGGTGGTAGCAGAACACTTCCAAGGTGACACGTAACAAGGAGGTAACAGGAAAAAATGAAGGTTTTTCTATTTTCTGTCTTTTAACAAGTACATAGTTATATCTTATTAGTATTCTTTTAATGACAGATAACTATAATTAAGATAATTCTCTTAATCAGTGATGATTAAGATTAGGTGACATCATTCTGCTGCACCTCCGTTGTGTGGCACTTCCACATCTCCCTCTGTTCTCATCACTTTGGCTGAGTGTGGCCCATGCCAAATGCTGTCCAGATGTATCTGATTTGGTGTATGACACGTATATGATGCTCTGATGCAAAGCTCTGCCAAGATCTCAAGTTGATGCTATGAAGGAAGTACGTGTCCCCTTGGATGTGCTCTGCTACATCATGTGAATTGTCCAAGGGAGGGACAAGCTCTTCTTTCCCAGGTCAAAAGGAGAGCCCCATTCTCTACCTTCAACACAAATATTTAACTAGCGCCCAGACACAGCGACCCATGCAGCAAACACCCATGACTGGAAGGTAGTGTAAACTGGACCCCACTATCATCCACATATTTTCTTAACTTGAGCTCACCTCCCCATACCTTGAAATCAGCTTCAAAAAGTTACCCAAGTTTTAGCAATAATCTTCCTGAGAGGCTTTCTGGTTTTGTTTTCATTTCCTTAGGCACCTGAGTGCCTCGAGAGAGAAAAGCACATACTGAAATAGTCCTCTACACACCACCAAACAGTAATTAGCTGTCTTGTGTCTGTCCTGGAGGAAACAAACATCCATGCAACTACTGTCCTACGGGAAACAAAGACACACTGCAACGCGGGGAGAAAGTCTGCTCATGCACACAGAGATTTTCTCTGACCACCCTATGAGAATAACCCTCTGTTATCATCCGTTTGGGCAACGACAGACATTAAATGAGACACAAAAGCTAGGCAGAAAGAAATCTGAATACAATCAAGGGGAACTGAAAATTTTAATGAAGCCTGAAATCTCAACATTGAGGGACAGACAACTAGCTGCCCGTGATATTCCCCAACTACTCTTCTCACAACCAAGATCAAGTTGTTAGTCATCTGCCCAGAACAACACACAGAACACAAACATGGTTGCAGAGACCCACGGTTGCAGGAACACTGCAGGAAGGGTGTGAAAGGTGAATTCAATCTGCCCTACTGCTCCTAGGGTTTGGGCAGGGCCTGGGCCAGTCCTACAAAAGGGGAATTTGGGAAGGGGGAGAGAAATGGTTGGAGCTCACCCTACCCATGAGGAAGCTGAGACATGCCCAGCGTGACGTTGCAAGTTCTGACAATCTGGCAGAAAAACATACTTACAAGAAATAATCATATGTTTATTATTCAGTCTGTTAGTGTCATTAGTTCATTACCGCTAAGAGGATTTTATTGCACTGCAGATCTTGCAGTCCTCAGCACATCGTGCAAGTTTGGGCTGTTTCCTTACTAGACTTGCACGCTTGGGTTCACAGCGCTAGATAAATCAGTTGTAAAACTGTGTCACTTAAACGTGTCTGCCACATCTCCAGGCCATCGTGTGGTCAAACATCTGCACAAAGGCAGACAGAGGAAAAAGATCCTCCCCAAGCAGCAGGGGTGGGGTTTGCCCCCCATCTCCAGCTCTATCCAGCTGTTTGCAAGGAAGCAGCAGGTCTCTTAATTGCAAAACTCTGTCTGACAGAAGGGCCATGGACAGCCACTGCCCGGGGAGATGGCAGAGGGGGAGCAACTCCAGCATCCCTGCTTCCCATGCCAGCCTACAAAGTCAGAGGCACACAAAGGTCCTGGTTATTTAGAGCTGGCATCTTGCAAAGAATGAAATGCCTTTTCCTCTTTTGTGCCTCATGAACTAAGCCAGTTAGAGGCTGCAGGGACTCCTGGCAATGTCACCGTGCAGTGACTGTGTGCTACCCCTTGATCCTCAGGGTTTATCTCAGACCAAAAGCTGGTGGTGGCTTTAGAGGTTTGGTGGGTCCAGAGAGGCCTCAGTGCCTGGCACAGCAAGCCTGGCCCTGGCTGGTTCTACACTGGCTTTGAAGGGGTCCTACTGGAAGACAAATACCTTTGAGCTCACCTGAGTACCAGGGAAGTGTCCTGCCCTTCCCCCTCCCAGAACTGGATTAGGGAAGGGGCTTTCAGAAGGATATGCAAGATGTCCCCAAAGCCACCCGCCTCCCTGCTCCAGCCTGGAAGCACACACAAACTCCTCATTATTCAGGATGGAGGGTGTCAGCCACCGTGAGAGAGGTTCATTTCAGCTGTATCAGCTTCAGAAACACGCAGACCCACCACACCAAACACCTCTCCTCCTCCAAATCTTTCCTTTTTTCCTAAATGTATCTTCACAAACATTATCCTCACATTTCTGAGGGGGGCAGGACCACCTCCCTGATTGCACCTCTTCCTTGGGGCAAGGCAGGTACTATTTCAAAGGAAAAATGATCATTTTTTTGTTCTTTGGCCTGCAGATGCCTGATGTTCGAATCAACCCCAACAGGAACTGGGGTTCCTGCTTGATCCCATATCTATATGCTTAAGCCTAATTATGATTAAGCTTAAGCCTGTTGGTATTTTTTTTTCCCTAAGGGAAAGGAAAAGGAAAAAAAAGAGGATGGGAAGGGTCAGAGATGATGTGTGCATTGTCACAGGCACGCCCAGCTTCAAGCTGAGGTTATCCAGTGCCAGCAGTTTCCCCTGCTCAGCACTACTGTCTCCCCTGCAAGGAACAGACACTTCTCCCACCTCCCCCTTCTCAGGAGCACTGCAAAAAACAACATGAACATCTGCATTTACCTTTCTGCTTATTTACAAACGGCAGTAGGGGTGAAGCCAAGGGACTTCTTTTGCCAGAGTCCTTGGAAGACACTTTGCTTTGGTTAAGAACAGTTTCTTCGATGGGTTTCTTCAGGATTATTCTTTCCTTCAGCTCCTCGGTGCTGACGGCAGAGGTCGGGGGCTCAGCACCTACTTTCGGTGCATCGAAGGAGCATTTCAGGTAGGACGCAGACTCTGCCAGGTTTTCTCTGTTCATCCTGCTCTCTGTCGTTTTACTTGCTTCGTAGTCTGAAGCGTCAGTGCGCGAGCCGTTCTCTTCCTTGATAATGTCCATGACCATGGGCTTCATCAGAGGGGAGTCCTGCTCCCTCTTTGGGCTCTCTTCTGAGGCTGACGAGGCATCGCAGGACTCGATGATGAGCTCACTGTCGAGCTCAGCCTCCCGCTCCTCCCGCAGGATGCTGTACTGGATGGAGGGGGAGGCAGGTGATGGAGGGGGCCCTCCAATGTGGCTGAAGGTCATGTAGTTGGAGTGGAGCACCTCCTCGGCAGCCAGGGGGTCCTCTGAGACCAGCTCGATCTCCGAGTCTCCTGACTCAGCACTGCTGGCTTCATTATCCAGGAGTGAGGAGCCAGCAGGGCGCCCGGGTTTGGCTCCCTGCTCTCTCTTCTCAGCAGAAAGGGCGGGTGACCGCTGCACCTCTGGGGTCTCGAAGGAAAAGCTTTTTGCTTCCTTGATGGCACTGATGAGTTCATCCTCAGACAGGCTGCCTTTGCCCTGCGACTCTGAGCCGGACAGTTCTGCCACCCAGAAAGAAAAGGGGTAAAAAAAAAAGAAAAAAAATGGTTAGAAATTACATTTTCTCTCTGCTTAGGCAACAAACAACAGATTTTGAGCCAGCACAGATCCCTCTAGTAGGGCTGGTAACACAGGCAGAAAGTCTCCCCGTCTGGGATGACTAACAGTAATTACAGTTTGTCCTTACAGAGCACTTCCCATGCACATACTTGTTATAAAAGAAGTATCATTAACATCATTTACTGAGGAAAAAGATGAGGCACAAGGCAGTGTTGGTCAGTGCTTGGCCAGTGGCTCAGTAATATGGTTTTCACCAGGAAAATCACCAGTCATGAGGAACGTGGTCTCAGGTCATGCATGACAGTGTCTGACTGTCACCGACGGATACATATCTATTCTGGGGACAAACATGCACATGGGGCTGGTGGGTTTCTGGCACCACTCATCGTAAACAACCCATGTGTAGTTACCAGTAATTTTGTCAAATTTTAACTTTCAGGTGTGAAAAGTTCCAGGTCAGAAACTTTCCTCAGATTTTTGGGGTTTTTTTTTCCTTGTAGGGTGGTGAATTGCAGGCAGTGAATTCTGTTTGCTTTTATCTCAGTTGGGTCCTAGAATGAAACTTACTTTTTTACTGTAATTCTTTGTATCATTAAGAACTACGTCAACCAAAATAATGACTGACCAAGTTGTCACCCCAAAATTGAAACAAAGGTACTTCTTTGCATTTTCTGGGTTGCACTGGAAGAAGACACACTCAGAGTGGAAATGAGTAGTTGCAAAGCCTGGCTGGTCACCCAGGATTAGCAAGGAGCCCACATCCTGTACTAGAAAGGAACCCAGCACCAGACTTCCCACCAGCTCTGCCTCCCTGAGTATCACTTTACCACGTGGGATTTTGTAATGAAACAACAAAGAAAGTAAAATTGCATGCAAAGTGTTCACAATAAGAGGCGACAGAGGCAGCGTGAGGTGCATCAGCAGCTGTCTTGAGTTACTGCATGGGGAACAGGCTTCACTTGATCATTCACAGAGCATCAGCCAGCCTCAAACCCAGACTGCACCTGGTGCAGCGGCAGCAAGGCCAGCCAGGCCA